TGTTTTCCCAGTCTGCACAGAATTAATGGATTTTGACATCAGGGTCGTTAGAATGCTAAGTAAGATCACGCTGGCTTTCAGCTTGTTTTCTGAGTTTATGACGCGCTGTTTTTCCGAGCACGCTTACTTTCCTGGAGACACGGAGGGCTCGGGGAGCAGCTGTGACAGCCCACCAAGCACCAGCACAAGCGTTTAGTCAGCAGCGCTCGCTGTCAGCATTCCCCCACCAAAGGCTTCCCTCGAGTTTGCAGCTGGAGGCAGAGTACGAAGCGCCGGTCCTCTGTAAACAGCACGGAGTGCCGTGGAGCAGTGTAACGGGGGGTGTCGGCTGCCAGCCCCTGGGAGCAGCAGGGCTGTTCCTGCCCTGCGCTCGGGCGAGCTCGCTCAGGTAACTCGTCCTGTGCCGGCGGCAGTGGGGAACCGGAGCTGCCCCCGGCGCTGGGCAGCCGGCAGACTCGAAAGAGCTCGGGGCTTGCTTTCAGCCTTTCCCCTCTCTGGGTACGTGTTTTGGGGGCCTCTTCATCTGCTTAGCTGGTCATTTACGGAATCCAAAGGGAAGGGAAAATGTGGCAAAACCTCTGTCTGAAAAGGACCGCAATGATTAAGGTTGTTGGGGAAGGGTGGGGAGGAGGCGGCTGGATGAGAGCAGGCGCTGCCTTCTTTATGCACCAAAACATGCTAAAAACAGTGTTTCCTCATTAAAAAATAAATAAATAAACTGTGTGCTGTCCAAATGCAGCGGAGTTCTCATGCGTGAACTGCGAACGGCCACGGGCGGACCGCAGAGAGGAATGACGCTGGAAAGCCACCCAGCTTCCCTGACCTATTTGCGTCTCATTCCAGCTGATACGCTCCGGCAAGGCGCAGGGACAGCGCAACGCCGGGGAGCGACACGCGGCTGCCTCCAGTGCATCCATCCACCATCCCGTAACGCCGCGGCCTTTCCCCCAGGAGTGCGGGCGGGACGTGCGGCGCCGCAGGCCCGGGGCGAGGCGCCGCCCGGGGCGGGGCGCGGCGGGCTGGCGTGAGGCGGGCGGAGCCGCG